TAATGAACTGAGTTTTTAAGCCCTACCTGGATGACTTTGTGGTCGTGTTCATTGACAACATCGTCATTTACTCAACAAGTATGGAAGCCCATGCAAACCACCAACGGTTAATTCTTTAGACTCTTCGGGATAAGAAATTGTATGCAAAATTAAAGAAATGTGAGTTTTGGCTACACGAAGTGGGGTTTTTGGGACATGTAGTAATGAAGGAGGGTGTTACTGTTGATCCGCACAAGATCGAAGCTATTGTGAATTGGCCGACTCCTACTAATGTGTCAGAAGTGTGTAGTTTCTTAGGTTTAGCCGGATATTACCAAAGATTCGTTTAAGACTTTTCCAAAATCGTGGTGCCGCTTACTCAATTAACCCAGAAAGGGGTTTTGTTTGAATGGTCAGAACAACGAGAATCTGCCTTTCAGGAGTTAAAGACGAGGTTAACTACAGCACCTGTTCTTGCCTTACTGTCGAGTACCGAGGGATTTGAGATTTATAGTGACGCTTCTTACAAAGGTTTGGGCTGTGTACTTATACAAAATGGGAGGGTTATTGCGTATGCCTCTCACCAACTTAAACCCCATGAAAAGAATTATCCCACACACGACCTTGAGCAAGCTGCAGTGGTCTTTGCTTTGAAAATATGGCGTCATTATTTGTATGGAACTACGTGTGAAGTTTATACCGATCATAAGAGTCTTAAGTATTTCTTTACCCAAAAGAAGTTGAATATGCGGCAGAGACGGTGATGCAGACTGAATTTTAGAAAATAAGTATTTTTATTTTATTATTTTAAAATTAATATTTGACCATGAATATTCTAAATTGGTATAGAATATTATGGAATTATTTAGTTATTTAGTTTCCTAATTTAATATGATGTAGTTTTCCTATTTTCTTAGTTTTGATTTTATTTCCTATTTTATTTGTTTCTTGTTCTACAAGAATTAGATTCATTATAAATAAAGATGTAAGCCTTAGGGCAAGGGGGAGAGCATTTTGATGATTAATATATTTTGAGTTTTATTACTCTTTGAGGCCGATCTTCGGACCGGGCGAGAGGGGGTGCTCATAGCTGACCTTCCCCGATCGTACCCAAGCTCCCGAGCCGAGACAACTCCGGTGATGACGGACATGTGGCCTTCGGCACCGAGTCAGGGTTTCCTAAATTTCCCCATTAAAAAATATTTAGGTGGCGACTCTGTATCTGGCAAAGCAGTCCATGTTTGGCACTACTTTTCAAAAATTTGTTTCTCAAAACGATTTGCCAGATTTGGACTCTTTGGTTCAAGATTAAGAACCGTGACTACAAAATCGAGAGTCCGAACTGTAGTAGCATAAGGCCCCCTCCACGGGCGCGTCTACAGTGGGGAGGAGGCGACGGATGGGACGAAAGGTGAGTCAACAACATTGGAGCAGAAGATAGAGAGGTGACGGAGACAGCAGTGGCTAGGGTTTAGATCATATATATAGAGAGAGAGTGAGAGAAGATTGAGAAAATAATGGTTTAATTGAGAAATATAGCATTTGGTTGGTATATATACATAGGTAGTTTGGTCATTTTGTAAGAGATTGTTCTTATAGACAAAGTATTTTAGAGTATGAATGATTGAGGCCGAATTATACATCATTGAGGCTGATAATTGAGATTTCTTAACCATATTCTTGAACCAGTTGTACATTTTACTAGTGTTTAATGTCAATCAAGTTAGATACGTTTGAAGCATAAAATGAGCAAAAACATGGGAATTGGGCTTCAAAAGTCATTTCTGTATGTGATGGATGCGGAGGTTCATTTCTGTATGTGCAGTTTTATGTCCAGAAGTCCAAGCATACTAAAATAACCGTACGTGCAGACAATTTTTTCTGTACGTGCAAAGCCTTTGCCACACATACAGTGACATTTCCAACACGTATGACCGACCTCGTTTTGCTGTGCGACGTTTTAAACCTGTTTTGAAGCCTAGAAGGTATGAAAGGCAAAAAGAAAAACTGGAAAAGGGTTTGGATATTTTTTAAGAGAAAAGAGAGGCTAGGGTTTGAAGAAAAAAAACTTAGAGTTTCAAGGATGTTATTCATGGTGGGTTTTTCTTCTGCCTCTTCTTACTCCGCCATGCGTGGCTAGTCTTCCTTTTTCTAATGTTTTGATGAAACCCTAGCGAAATAAATAGGATTTTTGTTAGGTTTTCGATTGTTGTAATGGTTTGAACAAATTGTATGGTGTTTAAGAAGTTTTTCAATATATTTTTCTTTCATTCTCTTTAAGTATTTTTATTTATGTGATTGTTGAATATTGTCCATACAACTGTTATATTTTCTTTCATATTCAAAGTATGAGACAAGTCATGCTACGAGAGACGAGACAAAAAAGACTTTTTCAAAATGCTACCCTAGTTTAGAGTGAACAACTTGTACTACTTAAGATGAGTCGTGCTTATACGTTGAAATGATAATCTTCTTGATCAATACTTCAAGCATGAAATTGTGAAGAATTGGGTGGTTCCAATTTTAAACCTTATTGATGTAACTAGTGGTGAATTTATTGCCCTAGAATTTTCCAAAAATTAGTATCTCAAACCATACTTTAGCTTGTTAATTCAATTTCTCAATTTCATTTTGATTCTTATTTGGTCATGATATCCCTCAATCTTTCTATCAAAATTAATTTAGAAAACTAGCAATTAAATTAGTTTAATTTCATAATTGTCCATGTGGATTGATATCTAGGCTTGCCATTATTCTAAAAAATTTGGGCATAGTTTAGCTCTTTATTTTTGGTGTGCCAAACGTGTCGTCAAATTTCAACGCTGTTGTTGGAGACTTCTAGCAAAATTAATTAATTTAAAGTTATACTCTTATTTTAATTTTTAGTTTATGATTTTATGTTCTTGTGCTGCTAAGTGTGCATAATTTCTTGCCAGTGGAGCTATCACTGAAGTGCAAAGTGGAGCACAAATTCACCTTTAAAAAAAAATAAAAAATAAAAGAAAAGAAAAGAAACAGAAAAACCACAGCACTAAAGTGCTAAAAACAAGCATCCACAAGCAAAGCACCAAAGTACTGAAAATAGAGAGCTCAAGCGGAGATTGGAGACAACGGTCTACACATCAGCACCAACGAGACAAGTCAAGCATTTTCATTAATTGCTGTGAGAATTTCTTTCTTTAGTATTTTATTTTTGTAGATAGCACACAAGAGTCAAAACTTAGTGTGTGTGGGGAGGGGGAGGAGAGGGGATGTGTGTGTGCAAGGGCACCATTCTTGTTGCCCAAAACTATGGAGTTTGGATCTTGAACTAGAAAAGACTTTTAAAAACCTTAGAGCCTCTTCCCATGTTCCCAGGTTTGAATATCCATATCCAAAACCAATAGAGATGGCTTAACAAAATTCTCTCCCGAATGGGCCCAATTGATCCTTCAAGGATTACTTCACACCCACTGCATATACTTCACCGTCATACATTCAGGACACAACAGTTGTCCACTATGAGATTAAGTCCAACACTATTCAAATGCTTCGATCATTTCACGAACTTGCTCATGATGACCCTTACAATCATATGCATGAATTTCTGAAAAATTTCTTTACAGTGAAGATCTAAAATTTCACGAATGAGACTCTTATGTTGAGACTATTCCCATTTTCACTTAAGGATAAAGCTAAGCACTGGTAGAACTCCTTACCTGCTAATAATATCACAACCTGGAACTAATAATAAAATTACATGAACTATTAATTAAATTAAATTTTTGACATAATTAAAAACTGTTAATTGACTTGAGAAGTTATCAATAAAATGGGCTATTTACAAAATTATAAACTTCAAAAGGTAGGATATAATTTTCAAAACAATAAGGTTACTCCATATTTTAAGCAAATCTCAAGGGATGTATATATAATTTATTCTATAAAATATTAAGTTTTTGGTTTTATTTATTTTTCCTCTTCCATTTTCTCTCTTTTCAAACATAAACATATTATATATTTTTCTCTTTCTTAAAATAATAAATAAAAAAATAATATTTAATTAATAAAAATGAATAAAAAAATTATTGGAGAAGATGACTAAAATTTAAAATAAAAATAAGATGCTCTAATAGCACTATAAAAATATAATAAAAAACAAAAAAATAAAAACTCAACCTGCCTTCTCTACCCATCCTTTATTTCTTCATTTTTGAAGAATTTTCACCAAAAACTCATCTTCTAAATCTATATCTATTTAAGATAAGGATGAGTTAATCTTTCATATTTAAAGAGAAAATGAGAAAATGAAAAATAGAAGGGCACCTCTAAAATACTATTCATTTTGTAATATTGATTATATTACACTAACACCATAAGGTTTGGATGAAATCACAACTTTAAAATAAATGAGCACCTCTAAATTTAATTTTTATAAAATTGATGAAATCTTACCTTTAAAATGAGTACAATAATAAATATATTTAATAAAAATTTGAAAATTAATTATTTTCGTCTCAAAATATTAGTCCTTTTTGAGAAATTTAATTTTTTGATAGTTCAATTATTACATTTCAAAAAGATTGATTTTTCAAAATTAACCATTGACTGTTTTTTATAACATCAATTGTTAATGAATTTAAAAGACGGACAAAATAAGAAATTTATATTATTCTAGCCTTTGTTTTTTGAAAAATAGACTAATATTTTGAGACAATAAAAAATGAAATAAAAAACTAATATTTTGAAACTGATGAAATAATGAACAAAAATTATTTACTTTTTAATCAAAATACATTTAAAAAAATAATAATTTATAATCACAATTTAAGTGAATAATGGCATATTCTATATTTAATTTTGGATATATTACAAATATATCCATGATGTTTAATTAAAATACAAATTGTCCCTGTGATTTTAGAAATTACATTCCATCCCTTGAAATTTTTAATTTCATAAAAAATCACTATTTTTATTAATAAATTATCAAATCAATTAACAGTTTTTAATTTATTTTCATCCACTAATGTTGGACATGCTCTCCTACCACCAACCGACACCATCACTCCACTGTACTGCCCCTCACTCTCTCTCTCTCTGGTACCCTTTTGTCTTGCTTCCCACCCACTCCAATCATCCCAATCCAAAACTACCATCACCCTACCAATAATCACCAAGCCCAAAAACAACAAATCTACCCCACCTTGATTCAAATCATCACAAACCCACCTCAACTCCCTCAAATCCAGACTATCCGCTCTAAAAATAAAATAAAATGGATTATCATCATCATCAACCAGAACAACCACCATCACCACCAACTCACAACCGCCACAACAACATCACCACTGTCACACCCCGAACCGTCCTCTTAGGAAAGTACGAGATGGGTCGACTCTTAGGCCAAGGCACCTTCGCCAAAGTCTACTACTGCAAACACCTCACAACCTCCGAGAGCGTCGCCATTAAAATCATCCACAAAGACCAAGTCAAGAAAGAAGGCTTAATGGTTCAGATCAAGCGAGAGATCTCCGTGATGCGCTTGGTTCGCCACCCAAACGTCGTCGAATTAAAGGAAGTCATGGCTACAAAGCAAAAAATCTTCTTCGTAATGGAGTACATCAAAGGCGGCGAACTCTTCGCCAAAATCTCCAAAGGGAAACTCAACGAAGACTCAGCGAGAAAGTACTTTCAACAGCTGATCAGCGCCGTCGATTTTTGTCACAGCCGGGGCGTTTCTCATCGAGATCTGAAGCCTGAGAATCTTCTTCTCGATGAGAATGGTGATTTGAAGGTCTCGGATTTTGGGTTATCGGCTTTGCCGGAGCAATTGTGGAACGATGGACTCCTTCATACCCAGTGTGGAACTCCGGCTTATGTTGCTCCGGAGATTCTCAGGAAAAAAGGGTATGATGGTGCGAAAGCTGATCTATGGTCTTGTGGTGTCATTTTGTATGTTTTGCTTGCTGGGTTTCTTCCATTTCAGGATGAAAATGTGATGAAGATGTATAGAAAGGTTTTCAAGGCCGAATTCGAGTTTCCACCATGGTTTTCAACCGAATCGAAGCGATTGATTTCGAAGCTCTTAGTGGCCGATCCCGAAAAGCGAATCTCAATCTCTGCTATAATGCGAGTCCCTTGGTTTCAAAAGGGGTTCACAAGACCAATCGCTTTCTCAATTCCAGAACAATTGATTGATGAGAAAGAACAAGAAAAAGAAGAAACAATTGTGATGAAAACGAGCAAGCAAGAGATAGAGATGGTGAGATCGAAGCGTTCGCCGCCATTCTACAATGCATTCGAGTTCATATCATCGATGTCATCTGGGTTCGACCTGTCGAGCTTGTTTGAGAGCAAAAGAAGATATGGGTCGATGTTTACATCAAAAAGCTCAGCGTCGGCGATCATGGCGAAGCTGGAATCGGTGGCGAGGAAGTTGAATTTCAAGGTGGTGGGAGCGAAGGAGTATAAGGTGAGAATGGAAGGGGCGGTGGAGGGGAGGAAAGGGAAGTTGGGAGTGACGGCGGAGGTATATGAGGTGGCGCCGGAGGTGGCGGTGGTGGAGTTCTCGAAGTCCGCCGGAGATACGTTGGAGTACAAGAAGTTTTGTGAAGAGGATGTGAGGCCGGCGCTGGAAGACATTGTTTGGAGTTGGCAAGGTGAAGAAACCAAACACTGAACAATAATATCAACCAGGTGGGCCATGGGAGGACTAGTTGGTGTTCATTAAAAAAAAAAAAAAAAAAAAAAAAAAAAACCTTCCCATATAGCCAAACTCATCCTAATTTTTGTTTGGATGGTGATCCATTGTCTGGTGATGCATTATCTATTTTTAAGTTTCTAAGTGTTATGTTTTTGTATTTCGAAATTCATGCATGTAAATAAATGAATAATGAGTTTTGCAGTTTAGCATGGGCTGTGGTAGGGGACTGAATAGAGAAAGATAGAGAGGGTTTTTTTTTTTTTTTTTCTTTTTTTCAACAATGTGTCTTTGTATTGTACATGGTTTTAGTTTGGGAATGATTAGTGTTCTTGAATCTTTATAATGTTGTTGGGTTTGATTCATCTCATGTTTGACTATTTCATTGAAATACATATTGTTATGATTGGTTATATTGAAAATTAAAAAATCAAAAAACAAAGATAAATGTAACAATTGGTGGAGAGGGTCGAGAACGTGGAGCATTGATTATTTATGTTGGGTAATTGAACAATATGAGGAGCATAATAAGTGATGATTGGTGAGGAAGTATAACTACTTTAGTACTCCGAGATTGTTATATATTTTTTCAAGATAAAGTACGGTTTTCACTCTTTTATTATAGTTTCAATTTAAGTAATTAGTCTATATATTTTATGTTTTGTAACATATGTCATTCTCTTGAAATCAAGACGGAAAAAGTAATTTGTGATAATTGAACATCATGATTAAATTGAAACTAAATTTAACATAGATTGATCAAATTATTCAAAATTGTAATTTACCCCCAAAAAAGAAAATAACAATAATTTTTGATTAATTGAAATGAAATGGTTGTTCCCAATGTATGATCAGTTACTTATAATGTAATGTGTTCGTAAAGTATTTTTATTATTTTTTTAATAAATCAAGAGAAAAATAAATATTTTGATAGAATGAGGATTGAATTTTATATTCATTTTAGTAAAACACTATTTAAATAGATTTATAATTCATAATTTAAAAAAGTAACAATTGCAAAAGTTATTACCTTGTATTTTATTCACCTTTCTCTTATTTTTTTTCTTTTTCTTTTTAAATTTCAATCAAAATTCATAATCTAAATACAATGAAAAGTATTTTTTTTTTAATCAAACCATCATAATTACTATGTACTCTAACAACGTTCTGTATAATTCAGAGAGTCTCTTAATCCTCAAATGCATACAGTTCAAAATGAGATCAAGTTTGGCAACTTAAAAATAATCTATCTTTTTATCTTTTTTAATCACATCACATTTTTATTTTTCTGCATATCTTTTTATAAAAAGACAAAAAGTACACTTATTTAGGTCATTCCAAACAAAAGTGAACCAAAATAACTTTAACTTTTAAATAGCCAATTGAAGAGTCACAACTGAGGCAAAACTAAAAAAACCAAATATGTCTAATTTGATTCTTTTAAAGAGGTGGTTGAAAATGGTGTCTGACGAGGAACCAAACAAGTAGTGTTTGTTTTGCATCTTATCTAATTTGTTTGGTGGTTTAAAATTGTGGGGGCTATATGTATGGGCATTGGGTGAGAATTGGGAATGGTGGTTGTTTTTAGAAACCAAAATGGTGGCTGGCCCATGGGAATGCTCAGTTGTCAACATTATAAATCGGGGTTGCGTTGCATATTGCATGTGAAGGAGAATCTATTTTGTTTGATTTAATTTGACTATCAAATTATTGGTAAATTATACTTTATCTTCTTTATATTTAGTTATGTCTTTTATTTTGGTTCTTAAGTTTTTTTTTTTCACTTTTAACCTTTATTTTAATTTTTTTTAAATTACTTCTAAAGCTAATTTCTACTTAAAATTATAAATAAAATATCACGTTAACTATTATATAATATATAAAAATATATTATTATATTATGATATAAGTTTGTGTTAAATGTGTAAGTTCTATATAATAGAACATTTTTTATATCATATGGTTGTCAATGTGTTATTTTCTATCGAATTTTGAATATAAGTCAACTTTAATTGTCAAAAACTTGAAATATGAAAGGCAAAAAAAACTTTAAGCCTCCGTTTGGGAAGTGGGTTGGCTTTTTGGCTTTTTGGCTTTTTTGGCTATTTTAGCCTGGGCTTAAAAGCTTGGTTTGGGAAGGGCTTTTTGGCTTTTTGGCTTTTTTGAGTTTTTTTGTGAGAGAAGAATGTAATGATTATGGGTTGGATGTGATGTTTTGTTTGTTATGGCTAAAATAGCCTATTTTATTTTTTGTGACTAAAATAGCCAAAAAAGCCTGCAAACCTACTTGCCAAACACAGGCTAAATGTTAAAGTAAAAATAAAAATAAAAAATTGCTAAACACAAAAAAGGGTACCAATCAAACTGTTTGGGAAATGATTTTTTTAGTGATTTTTTTTAATTAAAATATGAGTTGAAAAAGGTAAATTGTTTTAGAATGATTTTTTGATTTTTTTTACTTAAAAATGTGTAAAAAATAATAAATAATAAAAATGAATATTTTTTACTTTTCTACATGATGTTTTAGCTATTTTGATTTTTTTAGTGATTTTTTTGTTCTTTTGACTAAAAAAAAGTCAATTGCCAAAAACACTAGTGAATGAGCCAAAATGAGATTTTAGTAAAACTGCAAGAACTAACGTGACATTTGATTAGAGTCAGATTTTCCTCAAGTTCATATCTTAACTTAAAAAAATTTGAGGGGTGCATGGGACAACTACTAGTTCTGTTTCAATGATCTAAACTGTTTATTTTCTAAGATCTGCAATATATATCATACATTAAAAAAATTAGATTAATATAATAATCATAACATTTTTATTTATTTGTGTTTATCTCCAAAAAAAATTGGATGATAAGTACATTTTGAAAATAGACCATCTATGTTTTTGAGGCAAATACGATAAAATAAAAATGTTACAATTATTGGAACAACCTAATTTTTTTCATGGATGATATATACAGAGACCCTTATAAAATGAATGGTTAGAATCATCTAAACAGGATCCGTAGCATAGTTGGCAATCCCATACCATGCCGGTGCCGGCCGGTACTAGAGAGAAAATGGAATACAAATTGCTAATACCATTTTGATTAATTTCTCAATAAGTTCCACCCAATTCTGTAAATACCAAATAATATCGGCCAGAAAATGTAATTCTAATATAATTAAACGATACCCAAGCAAGGTGAATTTATGATTTTTTTTTTTTTTATTTATTGTATATATCAAATATATTATATGAGAGATGCTGTTGCCCTAAGAAAACAAAACAATACAACTACGGATACTTAAATTATATGCTTAAATATATTATATGTTTAAATTATTTACTCCTAGATAAAATTTTCGAAAACGGTACCTAGAAATAAACCGATGTCGGTAGGTACCGCACCAATTGAAAAAATGGCATTTTCTCTGGTACAGAATTAACAACTTTGGTCCATAATATAGGTCTGTCAAATTCTCTCAGGTTAACCCATTTAATAAAGGGAGATGCTAGAGAGCTCTAAATCTAGAGCTCTAATTTGAGCTCTAGTGATGTGTCCAAGTAATAAAAAAAAAAAAAAAAACAAGACAAGGCACAAACATCACATCAGAGTGGGTCCTACATTCCCATTAGAGCTATTAGAGCTCCTATATTAAAACTCTAAAGCATTTTTGTTTAATAAAAGTGTAAGGCACCAATGAGATGAAAAAAAATAAAAAATCATGTTTAGCTCTTATGACAAGTTTTGCTAGCTTTATTAATGGTAGACAGATGAAATGGTGACATTAAAACTTGACTTAAAATGTATATATTTGACCATCACAATTAAAAGTAAAAAAAATAATAATTAAATAATAGTAAAAATATAAAGATGCTAAGTGTAATTAACTTAATAAAAAATGAGATTGGACTCTTCTTAAGTTCAAATCTAAACTTGAGGGGCTATGGGTCTTGTGATGATGATTGAAAAATTTTATTTTGTTAGACCTTCCGTGTATATCATTTGTGATTAAAAAAAATATATGTTTGTCTTAAAAAAAAAAATGAATGGTCTATTTTTTAAAACATATTTGTTATCAATTTTTTAAAAACAAACACGACAAAATAAAAATATTACAATTATAAAATGAATCTAAATTTTTAATAAATAAAATTTATTAAAATTTTTATAAAATAAATAATTTAAATAATCAAAACCGAATTCACAATAAGTTCTAAAATTCTCACAACCCTAAAAAATTGGGGTTATGAAAAGGATGGCTTTGTTAGGTTTAATTTTTTAGAAAATATTTTTAAATGAATTTTTGATTGTCTTTATTGAATTTTTTTAATATTTTAGTTTTTTTTGTTGTTGTTGTTGTTGTTGTTGTTTTGTTTTGTTTTTTTTTCTTTTTTTTATTGTTTTTTATTGTTTTGATTTGTTTTTTTTTAAAACTTTTCAGACACATCAAGATTAGATGTATCTCAAGAGAGAAGAAGAAGAAGAAAACATTTTATTAAAACTAAACGAAAACTCGAATAAAAATGCGCACACACGTTTTTGTTCAAATTTTCGTCTGTTTTTGGTCAATATATTTTTCTTTGTAGATAGATACATCCAAAATTAGGTATATCTAAGTGTATAAAAAAAATTAGAAAAATGATTCATCCACACAATTTCTCTCTCCTCCTCCTCCAAAAAAAACAAAACAAAACAAAACAAAACCCTAAATAATGTGGCAAGTAAAATTTGAAAAATTGACCCGCATTCAAATATTTCCTCAAAACTCTCTTTATATGTGTTTTGTCTTGCCACCTCGTTAGGGAGATTGTGAGGGAAAGAAATTATGTGGATGTAATACTGCTGAAAAAATTAATTAAAATATAAATAAAAATATTAAACATAAACAAAACTTTAACTAATGCCGTGTTTGTTTGAGTGGAAAATATTTTCATATGGAAAACATTTTATATGAAAAAAATTTCTGGAGAAAATATGGTAGTGTTTGGTAGAGTTTTAGAGTTATGATTTGAAAATAGAATTATATTTTGAGTTTGTGAGTTTTGGTATTATGATTTAAGTGTAAAAATTTGTT